GGAATGCGAATTTATATTTAGGTCCCTAGAGCCTTTTGCATCACACACTGAGGTGCCACTAGCCTTTAGGCACCTCCAGGTTACGATAGTTGTGAATTCTCAGCAGTCAGTATAGCTCCTTTGGCATTCGGCACCTAAATTCTGAGCAGCTCTCAGGTGCCAGAGCTGATGGTTTAAACTGACATTGCTCCCCTGACTGACAGATTTGTGCCAGCTGAGAATGTGGTGATAGTGGTGGTGGCGGTGGTTCGATTTAGGGGACAAATGTGTGGGTGTGTAACGGATGAGCAGTAGGGCCGGGTTCTTCAGGCCAGAGGCAATCTGAGACAGGGAGGCTGAGCACACAAGCCATTTGTAGGAGTGCTTCTTTGCCCTGATTACCTTAAGGTCAGTGGTTTGAAGATCTCTTTTTGCCTTCTGCTTTGCTTGCAGCTCACTAAATGGCTCTACTTTTCATCCAAAAATTCATAAAGTGACTCTCACAGGGTTTCCTAGTCCTTCTGTCATTCTGCTGAGCATTTCCACTCAGGAAGGAAGGATGTAACCATGACTCAATTATTTTAAAAGTATCTTTGATGCTTTGCTCCAAGTATCGAAGGAACATAAAAATGACACCCTAGCCTGTAAAAGTCAGGGATTTCAGTCAGGGTTTGTTTGGGTTTTTTTCCCAAAGAAACCAAAAGGTTATGGTTTCCCCCCAGAAATATTTATCTTAATAAAAGTCATCTTCTGGACCCTTAACAGTTTTCCCTCTATTTTAAGGTATGGATTATGGTGGAACAGCTGATTGCAGGATGAATCAACCATTGAGTCTTCTGAGTTTATATGTTATGTTATGTTATGTTATGTTAATTTTATGTTACATTTGTAATACATTTTGTTATGTCTGTGGTGCATTTATGCAATTATTCTGTTACTTTATACTACTCTACAGCTTGAGATGGGTTTTGTCCAGTGTTGTATAGATGGCACGAGAAAGGGAGCTCCCGGTTTGGAATTGTTTACAATCTTGGAGGGAAAGTGAAAACAGTGAAACCTTCCAGGAGCACACCACCTGACAAACGTAGTGTCGTTTAAATACCTTAGGTGCTTTCCAGGAGAGAAATATTTCACTTACTTATGGCAAGATGCTATAGGTCTTCTACAAGAGACCATGACTATCTGCACATCCATGTGTGTATATTAGCATGCATATATGTTTGGGTTAATCTCTATTATGCATTTGTTAATAATATGCCTTCCCTGTTGCTCTTTCTCATCAGGAAGAACGCCGTGTGATTTATCTGGGTAAAATCAGACCTGACACAACTCGAACGGAACTGAGGGACCGGTTTGAAGTTTTTGGTGAAATTGAGGAGTGCACAGTGAATTTGCGGGATGATGGGTAAGAACTTTTGAGATTACTTCTTGTTTGGGAGCTGCCATATGTAAAAAATTATGGCAGCAAGATTAAGGTATGGGAGTTACCAATGTAAGTGCTGTGACAGATGACATGCTGAGTTCAAAACCTTATTTATTTTCTTTCATCCTTATTTATTAATCTTGCTAGCTGAGATTTTCTGTCCCAGAAATAAGTATTTAGCTGCATGACAGGACAATCATGCTGATAAATGGATCCAGTACTTCTGGCATTTCCACTGTTGGATCTCCTGCAAGTTCTTGTTTTCAGGAAGGGGTTACACTAACGTGCGTTAACTCTTTTCAGCTTTTGTTCACATCTGTATATTTCACTTGCAGAGACAGCTATGGTTTCATCACCTACCGCTATACTTGTGACGCCTTTGCTGCTCTTGAAAATGGATACACTTTACGCAGGTCAAATGAACCTGACTTTGAGCTGTACTTTTGTGGACGCAAGCAATTTTGCAAGTCTAACTATGCAGACTTAGGTAGGTGTTCTGCTTTATGTGAATTAACGTCCATAACTGGAACCTTGTAACTCAGGAGAATTTAGAGTTTGCTGCTTTTTTGTTTGCTGCTTATATTTAAATGATAGGGAGAGTTAAAGGAAGTGGTTTTCACTTGCTCCAAGAAGTTTAAAAGTCTGCTAATATGAGCTCTAATCTGAGCTGGCTTCTTTCCCGTATTTCAGGCTGCAAATTCTTTTAAAGCCCATTTCCATCATTATCAAAAATAAGTGCCCTATACTCATAATACATTTCCATATTGAAATGTTAGCACCACAGAAACCTCCTGCATGCTTTACTATTCATTGCTATGCTATGACTGCTTGGTTCTAATATCTGATTTATTTATACGAGCATTAAACAGCAAACAAAGTAGATGGCTCACCCCAAAAAAAAAAAATCATTATGATTCTTACTTTGCTGGGAGTTGTACTGTAGATGTGTAGAACTTCCCAGAGATGCTCCTTAAACACAATTCATAGTTTCTGAGGTTTAATAACTAGAAGGGCTTGTGACCAAAGCTGACTCATCCTATAGCAAAGGCCACAGAGCTCAACTGGTGGTTCCCAAATCCTGCATAAGCATCTATGTATGAATGTGTCTTCTTACAGGGACTTCCAGTCATGATGTAAGAGGTTCCTGCCTCTGGAGAACTTAGCAAATCTCTTGGTGTTCGGTGTCCCACTGGTGTGGGGCAGTACGCATACCAGTCTCCAGACCCCAGTATACTGTGATAACTTCAGTCCCAAGTGTGGATACTGGCTGCGCTAACACATCTGAGTCGGTCCTAGTCGTGCCTGGGCAATAGTGTATGGTTCTGTCCTATGCTCTGGGTCAAGGTGTGATGCTTCCCCTTACAAGGATGTTTGGAGATGT